TGCTGGCTGAATGGAAATTAAACACAAGGCTAGAATCTACAGTAGGGAAAAACTCAGGAAAATAAATGAATGCCAGGGATGGCTTTCCTGGCAGAGGACACCGAGGGTGTGGGGCAACAGACACAGGAAGAGGAGCCCAGAGAGAAGACAGCTCTACGGGAGGGAGGGCAGCAGGCCAAACGCACTTAAGGCAGATGCCAGTTACAAGAAAGATAATCACAGAAACAAAGATTTCCTAGGCTATTAAACCTGCCTATCACCCTCACAGAGGTTTGTGGTGCTTTGAGGGTACAAAGGTAAAACAGCACAATATGAAAAGTAAAAGCATTAGACAATTCTTATAATAGTCATTTTCCACTTCTGATAATTAATCAAATATTTTACCCACCATTTACAATTCTATGATCCTACAGAGCCAATCCAGGAATTAAAAATACAATTAACAATGCAGTTTACAGACTGAAAAATAATGGACTGCTATGACCTATGTCAAACTGTACTATGCATATATTTTTAACATTATTCTATTACAAAACCTATACTTGATTCCTTGACTTCTTTCTGCCTCCCTACCAGTATGGTATACTAACTGTGGTTTTATCCTTTAGTCGTTCAACCTATAACCCAACACCAAACAAAAACAAAAAGAAACAAACAAAAAACAGTAAGGTCCTGCCTCATACATTAAACTCAGACCACTGAGGATGACAGTCAACACACCCAGAGTATCCCAAAGATATCTATCTACAGGAGGCCTAGCCTGAGCCAGATAGAACCACCACTCCAGAAGAACCACACCCCCAAATCCCTTACACCCTGTCGCCAAGTGGGCTAGCTCCTGCCATTACTGAAAAACACAGAGACATCTTGGGTAAAATTGCTACTAAAAATCCCAAGCCACAGTGTTAAAGGGTAGATTCTGCCACAATATCTTGATTAAAAATAATGTCCTGGCTACTGCCTCTGACCATCGCCTGACCCTGGGCAGTCACTGTCTTATGGATCACTTTTGACTTTTAGTTGTGAAAATGACCAACTGATTCTATATTTATCTATCCTGGTCTTCATTACAACTCAGTCTATATCTAAAACTTCCTCCCACCTCAGGGTCCAGCCCTAGTAAGAAGTTTCTGCCTATTGTCCTGCCCCTGACACCTGTCTTCAGCCCCAGTGATAATCCCGGCAGAGAGCTGAATCTCAACTATGATCCAAGTACCTGAGAGCTAGTTATCGTCAACAAAGCACATCTGAAGATTAGTCCAGAAAAGAAATAGTTTTGAATTTATTCTAACATGACAAAATCCTTTATTCATACTATTTCCAATAAAACACATGGCTTTAAAGAAAGATTTTCAGATTTTCAGCTCTTTCCATGTTGATAGTTGAAATAACATCAATACAACTTAGTTCCAGCATGGTAAGAGAAAAATAAACTCTAGAATTTGTTTTAATAGAAATTTATCTGTATGTGCAAAAGTTTAATTTACATACCTATTTCATAGATGAAGAGGCATTTTAAAAATAAGAAATTACTTAGCAAATTAGCCATGTGACCACAATTATAAAATATTTTATCTGAGAATAAACCACATGCAAATAAAAGCAAGTCAATACAATTGCTAAAATAATGATACATCATTATTTTTTAAAAAAAAATAGGTACAAAAGGGAATCAGCCTTTTTAGCTACAACGAAATTATAACATTTGAATGAACTTCTCCCAAAAATATTGCATATACTTCGTACTGGTTTTTGTTTTAGCCTACTTAGTGAAATTCAATAATCCAAGGTATAATTAAAATAGCCCCCCAGTACTTTTCCACTATAGCACCTCAGTTACCTGCTACATTTTTCAGTTAAAAGGACTAATGGAAGTCAGCCTAGCCAATACTACCAGAAATGAGATTTGAGTTCCATAAATGTCTCATTCATTTCTGATCCTTACCCAAATGGCACAGAACTTGGATAGAGTAGACATACTGTTAAGTGTTTGCTGAATAACAGAATTATAAAAAGAAAGAATGGCATTCCAATATATGACAGTATATTAGATTTATTATATTAGTATACATTCTATCATTTTATTAGTAAGAAAAATTAGCAGAATGAACAAAGGCCCATACCAGTGCATTTTCAATGTATCATTCCTTAGAGTAAATAAAACCCACAAGGAGGATTCACAAAGAAAAGCCAAAAGAAGCTAATTCCCAAGTTATGCCTCCCCCACTGAAAGCAAAAGACAAGCTCATCTCAGTACTTCTTAGAAAGGGTCATGCTGTTGTATTGCTATCATGGCACCATGTTAAGGAAGAAAAGGAAAATGGTTCATTAGTTCACTTCCCAAGAGGATTATTCTGGCGTTGGACTAAGTAATGAGAGGTGACGGCCTAGGCAGTACGGCCTGGGAAGGAGGTGAAAAGGGGCAGACATTAGAAGTAATTCACTTTATATTTTGAATGATTCACCTTCAAAGGGGCCATGCTAATAAGTCAAACAGACACTGTAACAATAAATCAGGCAATCATGATGCAAGAGAAGCTACACCCAGAATTATGGATAAAAACTTACCACCTAGAAGGAAAATTTATTTTTAAAATGAATCCAGAGTTGGAAGATGAGAAAACACATTTTCATATGGTTAGTTCTTATGATAACTACTATATATTCAACACTTTTAACAGCATGCATTGTAAATAAGGATTAAAAAAACCTCTAATATACAAAACCTAAACAACAGACAAACCTAAGTATACAGCACACATTTTCAAAAACAAAGCTAAGAACCAATAATTACTAAAAATATGTTGATGATATTGTATTTATTCTCTTTCTTATATGTAATTGTGACTATAGCCAAACAGTATTAAGTTTCATTTGTATACTGCCTCTCACCTATCAACTCCTACATTCTAGTTGCCAAAAAGAAGTGTGACGCTTCATTTAATCTCTTTTCAATTATTCAAAAGTGGTCTGAAAACAGAACAAGAGCATATCCGAGATCTGTGCTTCTGAACCTATGGACTATAGACACTGGGGTGCCTGTGGTTAGTTTGGGTATAAAACATGCTGTGTTATGTGAATAATAACAAACCTCACACCTTTATTTACTGCTATGTTTCAAATTATTGTGATTGATACACGTCTATTTGAAAGTATTATTAAAGCAATATTAGCTTTCTAAAAAGTAATTCAGCTTTTAATAGAAACCAATCTGCCATCTAGCAACTTCCACAGAAGTTCTACGAGATCCTCAACTTTTAAGTAAGAATTGAAAGTGTTACTGGACTTTTTTTTTTTTTTTTTGTCATTATAAATTTTCTCAGCCAACAGACACTAAATGCACAACCATCGTATGTGAATGAGACCACAAAATATCTCACGTGAGGAAAATACCTCATGCTGGGACTTGCTGGCTTGGATCAAAGTTATATGTGGACAAGAGTATTCAAAATTGTCTCTTTCAGCTGAAAGTTAGGTTGAGAAATTAAGTCAGAGGAAAAGAAGGGGACAGAATTGTAACTGTGATCATAAGACAGGCAGAGAAATTAAACAAGGAAAATCTACTTTACTGGTAAGAGAAAAACAGAGGTCAGGACTGTCCACTGACTGGTCATCCCCACAACAAGCCAATGAGTTTAGATTCTGATCCTCATGTCAAAGGTCACACTGTGGAAATCCTAGTACCTTTATTTCCCCAAGATGTATTATGGCGCTCTTACCCCAAAATGTCCCAAGAGTATCTACTAATTTTATTCTATATCATCTCTGGACACATATGTCTAAAAGTTACTAGGTTATTCTATATTCATCTCATGCAAATTGCTGCAAAAGGAACTTCCTAGCTTCCTAGTTGAGTTGAGAGGTCTGTGAAGATGTGTTAGCTATCACTACATCTCCTCTTCATTTTTCTGATAGATCACTTTTTTTTTCCTTCAGTCCATCTTAAGAGTCCCAAACAGCTCCATTTTGCCTTTCTTAAAGAAATTATGTGGGCTTTCGGAATAGGAAAACAAATCTGTATGGATACCTAAGTTTTAGTGTTTTGTTTTGTTTTGTCTTTTTAAGATTTTATTTATTTGACAGAGAGAGAGACAGCGAGAGAGGGAACACAAGCAGGGGTAGAGGGAGAAGGAGAAGTAGGCTTCCTGCCGAGCAGGGAGCCTGATGCGGGGCTCAATTCCAGGACCCTGGGATCATGACCTGAGCCGAAGGCAGACGCTTAATGACTGAGCCACCAGGCACCCCAGTTTTAGTTCTTTCAATGTGATTTTTTAAAACTGTAAGATAAATCATATAGCAAATCAAGGGATGATCTAGATTCTTTAATCATAAGAAACCTAGTTTTCTCTTCCCCAAAATAAATGGACTTGGGACTATGAAATAATTTTTGTGCTAAATAAGAACATACTGGCCTATATTAAACTAAAACATTTTCATTTTCTCTAAGATAAACAGTTTAAGTAAATGCTAAAATTCCACATCTATGAGAGGTAAAAGTTTATATATAATTATAAATTTAAGTTCACTCTAGATTTTAAATAGAAGATGAGATAGTAAATAGAATATTTTGATATTTCAACTAGTAGAAGACCACATGAGCTGAGAAGTGTAGAAAAGGCTGTGTTCTTAAGACTGGCTACTAGATTTAGTAAAAACACAGTCAACATCTTCAGATCTAACTTATATCCCCTTTCCATCATATTATCAACCCAAATAAAAATGTCCCTGCCATCTACTGGAGAACAAAGATACAGAACACACTCACTACAGGTAAGTCAACTCCAGACATGTAGACAATATCACATTCACTTTTAAGTGAATTATGTTCTATGCTAGCATATAAAATAGTTATTTCTTTTTCCAAGGATTTACGTTTACCTACGTGCCATGTAGAGAATGAGAGAAAGGGAGGCAGAGAATAAGTACGTATGAACACAAAAGCAAAGATAAACCCAAGATATTTTGATTTCCGTAAGACAGCTTCACACACCTACACTTACATGGCCGTGGAGATCTGTGTTAAGAAGCATCATTGCACAGGTGAGACAATGGACCCCATCTAAGGGAAGAGACAAGGAAAGAAAGCATTAATTCACTATTTCCTACTGGACTCCTTATTATCATTAGAGTGGCATACATTAAGAACCTATGAAAACACAAAAATGTGGCTATGCACAATTAATTGTATTTGTTTGGGGAGACAAAAAATAGGTAAATTATTAGAAGGACCTCAGTGCACAGAGTTGGACTCTGCTGGTGATAAAGTGTATCATTTTTACCTCTCTGGAGGGTAGTTTGATAGAACATATCTTAAGCTTTGAAACAGTATCTTTTGACACAGCAAATCCATTTATAAGGCTTTACACTAAAGAAATAAGGATCTATACAAAATACAAGGGTATCCAAAGAAATATTGCTTATAATGGGGAACAAGTAAATAAAACCCTCCAAAAACACAATCCTGTTATGTTTAAGTCATTAAAAATGTTGTCCAAGTATACACGTTGAAATAGAAAGATATTTCACAATAAATTATTATATGAAAAGCATATTATATGCAGTATGGTTCCCTTTAAATATAAATACATCTAGAATAATATATAACATATTAAAAGATTATCATCTCTGGATAGTGAGATAATTTTTATCTTTTTATTTATATTTTCCCAATTTTCTGTAACATAAGATACAGAAATGAAAATAAATTATTTGCTACTGTTCCTTCTTTTTTTACTTTCTGGGAGGAAAGTGAATTAGGAAAGAAGCAAAAGTTAAAGAAAACCAAGATTTGCATCTTTCACTATACTGTCTGCATATTAGGTCTCTGGCTAAAAATATATGGGTAGGAATAGTTATCCTCTTTCTTGACAGTTCACTAAAGGCAGCATGTAGGTTGGTCCAGGATACTATGGATCACACAAAAGTAAAATATTGCAATAACTGTAAAGATTAAAAAATTAAATATTCAGGGGAAAGATGTTGCTCAAACCAGATGGATCATGTCACATTTAGATGGAAACATCACTCTCTCTTACTTTATAAAGGAAAAGAAAAAGCACTAAGAGTTAGAAGCTTCTCATTTCCAAACCTTAGAATTACTTCTCCTCATTCTTTTCCTGCAATTCTCAATCCAAGTATAGTAGACAATGGCAGTGAAGATGCAGAAAAATCTTATTAGTGTATGCCAATGTACAGAAAGGCAGGCCTTCCTAATTACTGAATTCATGAATTAAAAATAGCTTATTTTTCAGAAGTATGCCTTTGAATATAGTAGGTGATTTCTGTTACTAATGTCTCTAAGGAGATGCTATCAAATGCCCAAAAGTATATTTACTCCAGTTCCAGTTTGTTATTAAATTTTAAATAATTTAAAATATTTTCCTTGAAAGCATTTGTAAAACTCAGTAGCCAACTCTCAAATACCCTTATCAATGGCCACGTGTACAAGTGTCCACGTCCATCCATATTCCTTGTTTCACTCAGGAATATCAGCATCTTATTAGATTAACAGAGGTTTTAATAAAAACAACTCCCTTCTATCCCCTTCATTATCTGTTCAATCCTGATAGTGACAGAAACAGTGAATAAATAGTCTCAGTATAAACAAAGAAAGGACTAAAGAAAATTAAGTTCCCATTTTACAGAGAGGAATGTGACTCTAAGGATCAGATTGTTAGTTAATTTCGGTAGAGCCTGTAGGGCAGAGGCAGGGTGGGGGGGCGATTAATCACTTTGGTCAATATCAAGTACATTTATCCCAGTTAATTGGCAATACTGAAGCTAAGAGATAATTGTTACTTCTAGTGCATCTAGTCCTAGTGATCTATTCCAGAATTTGTGTTTATGAAAGATTCTCCAATTGCAAATGAATGTGCCTGACTTCAAACCCTGAAAATTTTGCTTTATTGCAGGAAACGGCATGGAGGAAGAAAACCTCTTGATAGGGTGCAACAATTAAATAGTTTAAAGTTGCTTTTTAAAAATAGTACAATAAACATAAACTCATAGTTCATTAACATCATAAACCAAAGTCAGTGGTCAGTGTTACAATGAATATCAAACCAAAGCACTGGAGACACACTACAAACTCCAGTGAGAAATGTAAATGTTTCCAAAACTAAGCATACATGCACTTCAAGAAGTTTAGAGATCAGATGGATAGAAAGAAGACATAAGAAAACCAGCATTTCATTTATTACAATGTGCTTTGCCACGTAAAATCTCAGAGTGGCAGCATGAGCAACTTAAAGCATCTTGTCATACTATGGAACTGTAAAACGAAGTAAAAAATAATGGAAAGAAAAGAGTATCATGCAGTCATTAAATATGCTTAATGACAGGAGAAAATGTTCACAATGAAAGGGAAAGACAACAGGAAACAAAACTCTGTAATGATTCAAATTTGAAATTAATTATTATACAAATAGAAGGAAATAAATCAAACAGTTGTTAATAGTTTTCTCCAGAGATCCCTAGATGATTTTCATTTTCATCTGTATAATCTTCCATATTTTCCACAATAAAATATAACTTTCATAATGAGAAAAATAACCCTTGTTTTTTGAAATACAAACATTTTCATCTGATTACCTTGTGAAGCAATGGTATCTGGGTTACAGTAAAAGTATCTATTGGAGAAGTGTATTAAAACTCTCTCTCGTTCTTGAGTTTCTCCCACAAGAGAAAATGCTTTAAAGAAATACCTTAAAAAGAATTAAGAGAAAAAAAGTGAAACTAGAAAACATTACCATACTCTTTACGTTTGACAATTAAAGTTAATTCATATATAATAAAAAATTAATTATACAAAGAAGATATTCTAGTTATTTTTTTTTAAAAAATCACTTATTAGATAGCCATTCAATATAAATTTATTTAGTTCTATAAAATGTCAATATAAAAGATGACAGGGCAGTGACAATAACATGGTAGCTAATACATTAAGAAAAGCCTTGGGAAGGTAGTAACTTCCCATATGACTGAGTGACAAGTAGCCATTTAAAAGATCAGTCAGATAAAAACCAAAGAACACTTAAGACTGAACCCATAACCATGTAGGCTATGTTTTAAAAACTATACATGGATCAAAGTTTGTCATTTTGTTATATGATTGTACTTGCCACTGACACACTGTTATATACAACTGATGAATCACTGAACTCTACATCTGAAATAATAATATACTATATGTTAACTGACTGAATATAAAATAAAATTTAAAAAAAAGAAAAATTACAATTATATTATCTTGTGCACAGATTTTTGTGAATTTTATTTTGCCTATTATCACATTATATTATTAACTTTTTATATGAGAAGAAAATTGGGAGCTAAAACCCTAATTTATTCCTTAGGCTATAAAAATAAAATTTTATGTATTTTTATGTATAAAAATTCTTTGAAAAATAAAAATATGCCCAGAACCACACACCAATCTAAATTAGGGTCAGTAAGAGTACTGTCTATTAATGATAAATTCTGATAACCCTCACTTGACAAAGTAGATGCACTTCCTAAACATTGAGATAGGAAGAAAAAAAATTCTTTAAAATGTTCTAAGAAATCTTACAATTAAAAGAAACATATAAAAAACCTGATTTCTATGATGAAAATGTTGCTGTCTTAGTTTGTTAAATCTAAATTATATTATCAAACTTGAATTTTTCATAACTGTCTTTTATAAACCACATCAGAGAACAAAGCATAAATATAGATCTTTCCTCTACCCTTATTTGTTTTCAGTGGAAAAGCCTATGCATGCCCTCAATTCACGCAAAGTGCCACCAAGTAAGTCATTACTGTGCATTCTAATCCAAACATCCTTACTTCACCTCCCAAAACGCAGTTTCCTGATTTATAAAACTAGAGGGTTATACAGATGATCTCAGAATTCCTCCAGGCATGTTATAAAGTTTGTAAGAGTAAATGCTGACTGAGTTTTACCTTTAGCGGCTCTTAGAAATTTACAGTACAATATGGTGTGAAAAGTGAGGTTCATTGTGTTTATTAAACCTTCATTTGAACAGATCAGCAAAAAGTGCTACTACCTGAAACAGTTTACAGATATCTTCTGCTGATTATTATGTTGATACTCATTTTTATTCCATTCATGAGTTAATTTGAAGTATCATCTTAAAAGGCTATTATAAACAAATGCTTAGGGGAAAAAAGCTTGTAATTCTACAGTCTGTAAATCTATGCCTTTTTTAATTGATCATTCGAAAACCAAATTCCCACAGATTCCACTTCTCAAGACTTACTTTGTCACTATTCTTTATTATGTCATCTACTAGTTGGAAAATATGATTTCATGTGTGATTTCATAAAAACAATATAATTTTCTTTCTACTGTGTCTAATAAACTATAGTATAATTTCAGCTAAGATCACAAAGTCACTGTGGGTTAAAAAATTAGTTTCAGCATTACTTTCTCTTCTCAAAATTATTTGGAGGCAAAAAAAAAAACAGAAGTGGGGGTGCCTGGGTGGCTCAGTCATTAAACGTCTGCCTTCCGCTCAGGTCCTGGGAGTCTCAGCAGGCAGTCCGCTTCTCCCTCTCCCTCTCCCACTCCCCCTGCTTGTGGTCCCTCTGTTGCTGTCTCCCTCACTGTCAAATAAATAAATAAAATCTTAACAACAACAAAAAAAGAAGTGATATTTAATCGTACCTGAGAGACTGATCCAGTGTCATTCCTGTAAAATCAAAAAACTTCAGATATTCTTCTGCAACTAGTTTGCTAAATTCATTGCTATAAGAAAACAGGATAAACTTTGTTATTAAAATCCAAGCTATTAAGAAAGACACACACGTAAGGAACACTCAGACACCAGCCTTGGTAACATACTTCTTGCCTAGGTGCTTTGCGACATCCGATCTTTTGAATCTGTCTAGTTGATAAAGTCGTTTGGCCAACCTTTTGGCTGCTTCTACGTTGCTGCTGGTACCATTACTGAGACTTTCTGAGGTCTCCTTTTCCAGAATTTCTGTGCTCCCCATCTCAGAATGAGCCTCTAGTAGTGTTGTTTTTACCCCAGCATTGCTGTGAGAATTGATAAAGAAGAAAAAAAAGAAAAGATTTTTTTATGTGACAAAAAGGAAAAATAGCTGATGAAATTACCATGCTATTGTAGAACTAAACGAAAAAAACTTTTAAATGAGATGGTTTTATGCTTAATTATTCATAAAAGTGTTTCCAGCTACTATGTTTCAATGTACTGAAGAAGAGATTGCTTAAACCTCTGATGAGCAGTTCTTAAAACTTTTGGTCTCAGGACCTTTACATTTTTAAAAATACGGAGGACACCAAAGACCTTTGTGTTTGTGTGGGTTTTATCAATTCATATTCACTGTATTAATAATTTAAAAAGAAAAATTTCAACTATTAACTCACCTAAAATAATAAACCCATTTCATGAATATAAATAATATATTTTATTAAAAACAATTATAGTTTCCAAAACAACATAAAATTTAGTGAGAAAGGCAACAATTATTTACATATTTAGACATTTCTTTAATGGTTGGCTTACTGGAAGACAGCTGGGTTCTCACTGCCACTAACCAATACTCTGTTTTGATTGAAATATATTAAAATCCAGCCTCACACAGATATTTAGTTAAAAAAATAAGAAGTAATTTAATATCCTTTCCAGATAATTGTAGATATTCTTTTTTTATACGGCACCAAAATAAGACAAGTGGTAGTTTCCCAAAGGTTAGTGCCAATATCATATCAAAGAACTTTTTATACTCATATTAAAATTTGTCTTCTACTTTAAATGGATCTTTTACCCAGATTCCGTAGCATACATTGGTCATTTGCAAAATATCTGTTGACACATTTCATTATATGATATTTTTTAAAATCACATTTATTATGTCACCACTATTATGTTCAGAAAAATCTTTAAGTATAGAAAACCTACCAAACTTTTGGTGGCAGATAGAAGTTTTTCCAAAATTCTAAGTTTTAACTGAAAGCTCAAATTTTATTGTTGGCAACAAATACTGTCAGTTGTTTTCTTAAATTATAAATAGGCTCACTCTCTTAATTTTTGAGAAAATGGCTCCCAATAACCATAGCTTGTCAGTTACACTTTGAAGGAAAAATGGCATTTCATAAAAAGCAACTAGTTTATAACTTACAACTCGAATTACATACAAGATTGTCCTAAAGAAAACCATCAGGAGTAGAAGTGCTTTATGCATATTTTCCATCTCATCACACGTGAAATTAAAAAGGTATATACTCAAGAGTTAAAATGTAATTATTTTGTACCACTTTATCATATTTAGGAATTTTTAGGTGAGACTGGCTTTTGTTTTTGAGTGCATGATAGTGAAGAACATAATAACAACTAGGACAGTTTGGTGCCACTACCTTGATTTGTGCTAAAGCCCCTACACCATTGCTTTTTCATCATTAGTGTAAACATCAACACAGTGAAAAAGGAAAATAATGCTGTATCGTTATTACAAAATAAATTGGAACTCATAAGCCTCCTGAAAGGGTCTCGGTAAGCCCCACAAACCACACGGAGTGCCTCTGCTCTTGAAGGGTCAGCCTGTGGGTGGCTATAGAGTGCTACATCATGCAGTTATACCACACACACCAATTACGCAGTAATTTCCAAATCCTCACTTTAACTTGGTAACTAAGGAACAATACATTCATGATAAACTACCACATTTAAGTAGCCTTCCAACACACTTACCACAGACTCCAAACCAGACACAGAATTTTTCTGTAATGAACCAGATAGTAAATATTTCAGGCAAGGCCACATAAGGTCTCTGTCACACATGCTTCTTTGTTTTTGTTTTTGTTTTTCTGCAACCTTTTAAAACTTAAAAACCATTCCAGGCTAGGCTGAACAGGCCCATGGGCCTAGTTTTGCATGTCTTTGCTCTGTCACATAGTTCTTTAACTTGGCCTGAATTGTAAGTAGAGTATCCATTTATTGTCTAACCCAAGATACTCTTAAGAGGGAACAGGATGATAAAATTAAATGAGATTATAATTGTTACAAAGTTAAAAAAAAAAGGCATCACCAATAAAAAATTAGTTGTAAACTTATAATAAATGATAAAAATCATTACAGCAAAAAAATGTATTTTTTTAAGCAGAACTATTCAGTATCTATTTTTGTCACTTACGCTACCTTATGATTTTCCACTTCCTACCACCAACTAAGTAGTAGCCTGGCAGGTACACTATCACTGTTTGTCCAGCCAGTACACCTAGGAACGGCACAGTCCCAGACTTCCCCAACCACTGCCAGAATTGAGGGAGATAACTGCCCCTCACAACTCCTCTCCAAGCTCATTTTATCAGCAAGTATTCCACATGCTGTCCTTGAAAGAGAGCTATAAGGGGAGGGAAAAGAGAGAGGTTATCCCACACTGTCTTTTAGACTCAACTATTCTGTTCAATGCACACGTCAACTCACACAGCCCACAGGACACTGCAGAGAAGCTAGAAGTACCAACTGGAGGCTCTTCAAACCCAGGCTGACTTAACTTTACTGCAGCTGTTAATGATAATACTTCATTTTTTAAAGTCAGTCTAATGTTAAGCCACAGTCAATGCCAGGACAACAAACATAAACTGGAATTACCCCAGGCAAAAATATTTGGTAACCTTCTTTAAACAATTAGCCACTTTAAACAATTTTCCAACAGAAATAGATACCAATTATAATAAATTGCATCATTATGACGAGATCTTCATGCAAATACATTTAAATATTTTTTCATCCTAAACCTTCCTCTACAGAGTTACCAGCCAGTTTTATGAAATCTATCCTATCAGAAAACTTGAGTATTCAATCATTATATACACCAAACCTATAAGTAAACTCGTATTAGAAAATTCTTTTAAAGGGCAACTCATACTTTGTGTTTTCCTGCATTCGTGGTAGAAATGTAAAACATTTATTCCAAGAACTATTTTAGTTACAATCAAATAATTTTTCTAATTATAAAAGAAAATCCCTGCAGTTCTGTCTGCATGCATCCTCTTACTCTATCTAGTAGCTATCATGGAGAAAAAACAAATGCCAAAGAAAGCATTTTCTTTTCAATTAAACTGCTACTTACTGCTCATTTTTCACGACAAATTTATAGCATATATTTAATCACTCCATGTAAATAGTTTAATTACACCACATATACAGTACTGCAAAGATTTTGTTCAAATACAAGAGACTTACCCTAATGAGCATATAGTTTTTTTAAGTGTAGTGGTGACAGTCACCACTCTTTCTACTTGCCCCCTCTTTCTATTCTCTTGCCCAGCCCAGTCTATTTCACCTCATTCTCCCCACATTCTTCAAAAGGAGGTAATTTTAAAATCTGTACAAATCAGACTTCTCTGGATCATCTTGACAAAACCTTCAGTAAAAAAGAAAATAAGGAATACAGTGAGGATAAATACCTCCATTCCTAGATGGCTTCATTCTGTCCCATTTCATGATTTATGAGATTAGTTGAGCAAGAACAGAGACTGCTCCTTTTAAATCAGAAAGCCTGGCAATATAATGGCAACACAAACTCACCAGCAATAAGGCAGACACCAAAAAGAACTCATCTCAGAGCCTAGGGTGGCTGGGCCATACATACATCCTCATAAGCCCCTTCTCAGCACTCTTTGCCCCACAAGTCCAGTGTCTATTGGTCCACTAGGGCTTCTAAGGACCTCACTCCCTGTGAAGTCATATTACTATGACCTCACCTTCTTGGCAGAGTGCTTACTGTTGGGGTTTTTGTAATGTTTTTACAACCCCAATAAAAACAGGAGCCAGAACACAAGAGCCACTGTATATTAAGAGCATAAACAACAATGGCAGCCCAGCCTTGCTCACACTTGATAAAGCAAACTGGATGATCCCTCTCAGGAGGGATGACACCCCATTTTGTTTCCTGGAATACACAAGACATTGTCCATCTAGTCTGCTGAATATTAGATGCTTTCAGTAGTTTGAATTTTCCCTTTTTTTTTTCTAGTCTCTCTTTTCTTCTTGATCAAATAACCTTACAATTTCCTAAGGTGAAATTCCTAATAGCCACTTAAATGTAAAAAGACTCCCCAAAAGGTTTTTCCTGTGTTCTAGAAAATGCTTCACTGGGGCCTGTACCTCCTACCTGCAAACACATATGGTAATAACACTACCATCAAAAGAAGGATCAGATTATTAGTCTGATCACCGGACATTCTCATAACCTTTTTATAATACTAGGATTACCAGTTTTTCTAGATAAAAATAATAGGATACCCAGTTAAATCTGAATTTCAGATAAACAAAAAAAAATAGTTTTTAGCACAGAACATACACTAAAAAAAAAAAAAAGATTCAATGTTTATCTGAAATTCAGATTTAACTGGTCGTCTTGTATTTTACCTAGGTTCACCCGGTAACCCAACCTCCCAAAATATTTGTTCTAAACTTATTTGAAGAATTCCAATAATGGTGTTCCCTAACTGCCAATTGGTAGCGTGTTTCACAACCCACAGTGTGGGTCTATTTTGACTTACTTATGTAATTTTTATTCCTTATTAAACTATTGTTCTATAGTTTCATTAAGACCTTCTCTCAGTTGCCTATGACCTACTGATTCTTCCCTAATGTCCTCTAAATACAAAGGAAAAACTCTTTTCTCTTATTTTCACCCTTCTTTCCCAGCTTACATAGTGCTACCACAGATGTAATAATATGCCTCCTTCATAGAAATCGAGATGAAAATCCATATTCTGTAGCATGTCAGATAAGACGATTCACAAGCTGACCCCAATGGCTCATTTAGATTTATCATCTACCATTTTCCTCATGCTTGGGCCACACGGAAATATTAGCTGTGCTCTCATACCCCTTTTCCATCTTGCTCCTTTTGCCCCTCTTGTTTACCCCTACCCTAAATTTCTGGGGTGCCCCAAATTTTGCAAATTCTTTTTGACCCTACAAGAACACAAGTGAAATAACTTTTTTAAGAATCATATTCCAACTCCCTCCTCCTGCATTCTCAGAGCAGTTGATAAATTAC